ATTTACTCCTATTATGTCTTCAATCATCTCTTAGAATCGTTTCTCTCAATCGAAAATTGACGCCTCTCACCTACAAAACAACATACACAAATTCTCATAAGAAACGATTTCTTCTAGCATTTTGAGATGCAAAGTCATTGATAATAACATTAACATCAATGTTTCGTATCATCTCCTTCTCAATAGCTAATGTTGCTAAACCATTCAACCTTTCTTGTGACATTGATGATCTCAAGTACGTTTTATTTTAAGCTTTGAGAAACTTCTTTCGACTGAAGCTACGGTCACAGTGACAGTTAATAAAATCCTATAAGCAATTGAAGCATTCGGATAACAATCTGTAGATTTGACAAACTTAAGAATTTCAGTGGCGGATAACAATTCTGTCGGCAAAGTCATTTGTAAGCCTTTTTAAACATAAATTTATCAAGAGCACCTTTTTGTGACTTCTTTAACTCCTCTCGTTTCCTTTTTTTTTTTTCTTTTTTCACTTCCAGACAAATGTTTTTTAGGCAACATCTCATCAAAGAGTCAAACACAAACCAATTCTAATAAATAAGTATAAGAAAAGAACAATTGCACATGGATTCTTCAATTAGAATTGTAAACCTATTGGAGTAAGATAAAATCCCAAATTCCTAATTTGATAATTGACATTGTTGACATAAATATTAATAGTTATAACATGAACACCAAAATAAAAACATCAAATAAGAGTCTAAATAATTATTGTATACATTTTTTCATCATATATAAAATTTAAATAACTTGAAAAATAAATGCAACTTTTTTTTAATTATCATGAATTTTTAAATATTATCATTTCACTGTATCTATGCATCAAGTTATGATTAAATATTAAAATAAAATTAATAACTATATTTTTTGTCTCATAAAAAATAGTTAACAATAATAGTTGAATTTTAAATATTATCATTTCACTATATCTATGCATCAAGTTATAATTAAATATTAAAATAAAATTAATAACTAGAGTTTTTTGTCTCATAAAAAATTTAATTTAATTCAATAATTCTTATTTTTAGCATACTTTGAAGTTTAATAATTGGGTATTTTTATTCAAGATTGCGAAGATAGCATTATACACGGCGGTTGAATTAGAAAAACATTGTAAAAATTATGGAAGTGTATAGGGTTATGCAAGTGAGAGAAAGCTTAATTTCATGGAAAATCCTCTTTTCATTCAATCAGGAGTTTGAAACACTTTCAATCAACATACGTGGGCCCCCTAGGATTTACATCAACATACGTGGGCCTCCTGGGAAGTAAATCCTCTTTACATCTGTGGAAGTAAAGCAGCAGGAAGGATCCTGGGCAAATTGAAGTATCGGTGAGTCTTCTTCTAAGAATGGCCCCCTCTAAACCTGGGCCCTAGGCGGTCGCCCTCCACGCCTGAACCCAGGGCCGCCTTGCCCGAGGTGACTCCTGGTGAGGCTCGACATCGGTTCATGACCATCTACCATTGGTAACAGAAATTAACTCGGAATAAGGATCTCTTTACCACCAAAGCACCAAATTAAAACAATGATTATCATGGACGTATACATAATTTTATGTTAGGATCTGTAAATGTAAGATTATATTAAAAATATAAGGGTACAAGATTATGATAACGTAAGAGTGTGAAATTCTATCAATAGAAAATGGGTAAAACTACATATTTAGTACTTTAACTATCACTTTTATTGTTTTCCTTACCAAACTATTTTTTTCAAAATCATAATTAACATACATTTTGTTTCATTTTAGTCGCATGTCATTAAGAAATCAACAAAACTGCAGATGTGATATTTCTTTTTTTTTTTAATTTTCAGTGATAACATGATATTATTTTATCGTGACACATCAACATCACCGTTAATTTTTTTAACGATGAGTAACGAAAATGAAACAAAAACATAACCTCATGTATGATTTGACAAAAGATAATTGGATGACCAAATGGAACAAAAGTAATAGTTGGATAAATGTATAGTTTATCCTAAAAAATACATGCACTATACGATAATTTAAACTTTTCAATGATGCGACGGCAGGCGTACGCGTACTGTAACTGCACCCACCTCGATCAGCAATATGTTATGATACTATCGAAATATATTAAAATTGGCCTTACCTATAGGCTGTCATTCACGAGCTTATCAAAATCTGGAGGAGTTTAGGCAATAAAGCTATTGTATGTCGTATAAATCTACCTACATTGTTATCGGCGGGAAACACGCTCTTCCTGAGAATGAAAAAGAAAAATGTCATACAAGGCAGCAGCGGAGAACAAAGCAACGAAGATGGAGCAAAAGTACATACAGCAACATCGTCAACGTATTTGTAGACGTTTTTAGACTTCAGATTTGCAGGAACAAGGACAGGTTACAGTATTCAAGAGTACAATTTCACGGATTACAAACATCTGACATCGAAATAAAACACAAGAAATGAAGAGACGGAATAACGTAAACATGCTTCGAAAAAGGCTAGAAATGGGAATCGAGTCGAAGAAGTGTCATGAATTTCATCATCTTGGACTGCATTCTCAGACTGAATTTCGTCTTCACCATCCTCCATCCATATACAGATGGTTCTTGAGTTGAAACACAGAGATAACTTGGAGAAGATCAGCTACCGCTCTTTCCTGAGAAAGAAACTCCTGAGACACACACTTCATCGTTGTCCGGAACTTTGGGTTCGACCTTAAGCAAGCAAATGCAATTGTTGCAGCAAAAACAATATCCTTTGCCACTCTTGGATAGCTCGGAAGTGATAGACGTGGATCCAATATATTTCTCAACATTATATTATTGGAAAATTATTCTGGAAGTACCAAGAGTTCACTAGGATGCTTTCCCATGAGTATTTCCAGTGCCAATACTCCAAAGCTATACACATCACATTTTTCATCTACAACCATTGTCTAAGCAAGATCTGCATTCACAAGAACTTCAACACTTGATAAGATATATAGTTAAAGTTATAGGTGAAAAAAAAAGCAAACCCAATTCCTGAAAACTTTACCTGGTGCAACATATCCGTAGGTACCAACAAGCACTGTTTGATTGTATGAATCAGGATCTAAAAACGCATGTGTACGCACAGGGACAGAGCCAAAATTTCAACTTGAGGGAGGCAAAGTATAGTTTTTCTAAAATTGGGGAGGGGGAATTTCATAATTATCCATAAAATACTTAAATTATATATATATTAAAGGTAAAAATACAAATTTGGCCGGTGGGGGTGGCCACAGCTCCTCCCAAACCCTTAGTGGCTTCGTCCCTGTGTACGCATTGTCAATACTTAAGAAAGATTTTGGATAGATAATACCTTATAATCATTCTAAACTATTAAAAAGAATGTTTAAATGAGAATTCAAATGTTAGCATTTTCATTTTGACAATTTTATTTGTTGTTAATCTTATATACTATCATATCTTACTGAGAAATTCAATGAATGGTGTAAAACAGTAAAAGGTGGAATTGACAGATTTATGGCCTTTACAAAGTCCCATTTTGCATTAGCTTCTTATTTAGTTATCTGTTTTATGTTCCAGGATCTTGTGTTCCGATTCGACATTTTCAAGAAACTCGAAAAGCATAGAGGTTGTGTCACTTGTGTACACGGCCAGCTTTAATGGTGATGGTAACATTTTAGCCTCTGGTGCTGATGACAAGCAGATTATGCTATGGGATTGGGAAACTGGACTTCCCAAGCTTACTTCCGGATCAGGTCATGCCAATGTCTACTATGTTTTCCGAGCTAAAATCATGCCTAACACTGGTGATCGTAGCTCGATTACGTGTGCTTCAGATGGTCAGGTGAACGAATTTCTTATGTAGGCAAGCAGCAAAGACCTCTATGTAGTGAATTGAGGAAACCGACTAAAACTGTTTCCTAATTGTAGGTTCGACATGCTTGAATCTCCGAGTGCGGTGTTGAAACTAGGTTGGTGGCCAAACATCAGGGAAGAGCTAATACTTTGGCCGTCGAACCAGGAAACCCTCGTTTAGTTTACACTTGAGGTGAAGATGGACTAGTGCAGCATGTGACGTGTTTCAAGTTATCATAATTTGAACATTCATGGAAATCTTATTCTTCTTGTTCGTTTGTTCTATGATGATCTAGCTATAGCTGACTTGTGGAGCGGTTTTATACTTTTTCATTTCAGATTGTCTCATACAGAGACGGATCCAGTTTATAAGGGACATGGAAAAGCTATTCAAGTTGACATGGATTTTATCAGAATGTGAAGGGTGTTAGCTTCTTGGACCCAAATCTGAGTATGTGGTTAGTGGATCCGAGAGACAAATATTTATTTGGAAGAAAAACAGAGAGCTTGTTCGTGTTATGCGCGTAGATGTACTTGGGGGTCCAATGTATCGAGTCTCATCCACATAGCATTGCAGACGATTCTGAACCGTGCCCCGGCCTTGCTCGTACCGCCTCCTATGCTACAGTAAACTATGATGTATGTAACAAGGTGAAGATTATGAATAAATCAATATCTTGGTGGTATGGGGTCGTCTTCGGATGATGATGATTGTCTTGATGTTCATGATGACATTGACGATGATAGCGATTGTAAGTGATGATGATGTAACAATGAATTCTAAAAGAATTTCATGTTGTGCACTTGAGTAATTGTACATGACATGGGGTTTTACAGATTCCTATGTCAACTGCTGCTTTTATAATAGTGACAATTAATTACAAACAATTGATTATATGAACAAGGCAAGCAAAAATATTAAAAATGTAGACTTACTATAAGCAACAATAGAATCGAATTAAAAATTTAATCATACACTTTTTACTCTCTCCAAAGAGGGAAAATTGTTTTTACTTGAACCTTCATTTTCTTTGTAGCTTCTTGCTTTTCCCCTTTGTTCATACCAAGCATACCTATCTTTACAACATTGATGTGCACATTGTGAACATAAACAAATTTATTGTTGGTATTTCCAAATTCCTTTCAAGTGTTACAGGTCCATTTCAATGAGTAACAATGTTTTTATATATTGTTATTATATGCTATATTCAAGTTATATATTTTAACCAACTAGAAATTGTTGAAATAAATGGAGTTGGGGAATTGAGTGGGGGAAGGAGCACGAGAGTATTCACTAATGAGACTTGGATTTCGTGGCACGAATGCCATCTTTAATAAGCAACAGTCGAACACCCTTGACAAGTTCTTCTTTAACCATGAACAACACGGCGGCTGCAAGAACGCTTTGTACGATTTTCGTGCTCATGCCTTTGTAAAACTGGGCGAATCCTTCATACCGGATCATCTTTATAATAGCATCCAGAGTCCCTATATCGATGCACGTGATGGAATTATTAGAAATCAATTCATCCTTAAGTCCAAACATATAAACATGGTTCCACCGTCGGCTTTCATTTTCTCCAAATACAAACCAGAACACAATAGCCTTTTCGGGTTTGTCTCCGTTAGATGTTCATAGTTAGAAGACTCCGGAAGTTTGAGCATATCGTTTATCGAAACAATTCATACCTTTGTAACGATGCCTTTTGTCCCCGGTTGTAAGTTGTTTTGCTTGAAGTCTCGACTGAAAAAGCAACAAAGAAACAGATGGTTTCAACTCTTTTTTCGACCGAAAATGAAGGGTTATGTCACAATGGTTACTGCCATGTTGTTTTTCTTCTAAAAATGATATCTACATGTCATACGGTTGTACCTTCACGACGAGAAGAGGATATGTCACAACGGTAGCTCCAAGTTTTGCCAAAGCTCCGAGGAGAAATATCTAGCATAATTAGACGGTTCGTGTGTAGAGGTTAAACCTAGAGAAGAGACATTTTCAAGGAACACTGACGTAATTATTAGTAAAGGGAGATTAACTCAGAGTCAACCTCCAAAGCAGTTACTCCATTGTTGCTCTGCTTGTTAAGAGATCGCCTTTTCTTCAGCTTTTTTAACATTGTTTCGTACAGCATAAATTGTATCGATGGATTGCTCACCTGTTAGAAATATCAAGAACAATCAGACACACACTTAGCAGACGTAACAGTCACTTCTCACGTACCATTATCATGTTGGGAATACACCTTTCCAGAAGCCCAAAAGTCCAGCTTCATCATAGACTTCTTGAATCTGCAAGTATTCCATTTGCAAAAGAATGTAACAAAATATCTTGCATTTTGGTTGACATCACAAATTTTAAGATAATTACGATTACAGTAATATCTTTTTTAGGGTTTAAAACAACAATCCTACTATTTCAATTAGAGATAACTTGTATTTGATTCAATATTATAAGTGAATTACATAAAGAACAATACAGAGGAAGCAACTGTACGTACCACATGGCTCGTTCCATAAGAAAGAGGGTCAATGACAGGAAGAACTGTTTCCTCTGGAGCTGTTGTTGTCAATCTATTAGAATGGTCATTCTTAGCGATTTTGTATGAGTCTGCATTACAATCGTTGTTTAATTTAAATATGAACAAGCTGTAAAATGGAACAAGACGGATATTTTCAAACCGGATGCATGATTTAGAACTCGAAAGAAATACAATTTTTTATGTACCTAAGACAAAAGAGTTAAGACACATTTACTGCACTCAAGGGGCCCTATTTTCTCAGGGCATAATTATTTCCTGGGAATCTAGGATAATTAAAGACTCCAATTGGCTTACATCCAAAGTCCATGCTTATTATTATTCAGCTATAAGTTATTTGGACTTGGTGATGCATACAATGAAGTTTTGTTCCTTCTGTGTTTTACATCAAATAAGAAGCTCCCAGCAATGCACATTTTCTTTTTACCTGCATACGTGTCACAACTACCCAAATAGGATTTGTCAACAGCACATTTACACACCTACACAGAGAAGTGATTAAGCATATATTTAGGTCAGAGATAAAAAGAGAGAGAACTAATACACAATTTAGGATATTATAAGAGTAATTGGCATACATGCTTTACGATTTATAAAAGAGCTTTCAAAAGCTGATGCAGGGCAACATTAGAAACACATGACATTTATTACCCAGCTAAAGCCTACAACAAGTGAAGAAAGCATCCAACTGATCCATCACCAATCCCTCTTTTCTGACTTTGAAGGGCCGCAGTTTCAGCTTTGTTCCTAAATATTTGATAAAATAATATAAACCCTGTACCATAGAAGTAGTAAGTACACTAGGAATCCAGCAAAAACCGAACAAACAGAATACAGAAAATTTAAAGTCACTCAACAAAGAAAAAAACAGTTTATGAAAGCCAATAGCAAGCAATCTATTCCAATCACAGATCAGTAAGAAAGCCCAGTCCGAAAAGCATGTAAGAAAACTTAGTTAAGCAACAAAAATGGCTCCATGCAATATTCTCCATAGAGCTCACCAGATAGTTATCTGGAATTTGATTTAGCTCAATAGCATCTTAACACTAATTATAACATATCACTCCTGATTTCTATGGAATTAATCTCAAAACAAGCTACAGTTTATGCTTTACAGGAATATGGTATTTGCTATGTTCGTTTTCGCATATATTCTCCAGCTACAGTTGGGTTTTACAGGGATATGATACTCGGGATATTAGTTTTTCACAAATATTAGCAAAACTAAAAAATCGAAGAAAAAAAAACTAGAATAATAAATAAATAAATGCACTGGAGACAAATCTGCCATCACAAGGGACCACTTATCATTTTACATTGAAAGTCGCAATCCATTTATCAGTAAGTGCTCTTAGCCGGTTTACAGTAGCAAATTGCCAAATAGTATACATTAAGAAAGAACAATTTTCAAGGTAAGGATCACGGACAACTGGGGAACTAACTTTCTCAGTTTCAACGTAAACTAAAGCATAATATAAAGGGCAACGGTTCTTAAGTTCATGAATCCACTTCTAATTTTTCCCATCACTTTCTCGGCAACCAAACAAAGAAGGATATAGTATAAAACAACAAGCAATCAAAAAAAATCCCTATCATTATTAATTGAAGATTTAATTTAATTTGTTTAACTTGGCAACATTATCATTACTAAAATTAAAGTAATACAAGAACAGGAACAATCATACTAGAAATCGAAAAGGTTATCACCTGAGATGCAGCTGTACGACTAAAGAAGGCGTTAAGCCTCCATATAACCGTTCCCATCCTTCATTTTACAACCTATTAAACAAAAGCGAGCGAACAAATTCAAGACTAAACACGAAATTAACATCACTCTTCAAACTGTTAATACTATTGCTAATATTATAAATAATTGCTAATATTGCAAGAAAAAAAAGGAAGGTTTGAAAAATCAACAAGCAAGCGGTGCCTAACTTAAAACAGCTCAATTAGCATATTCCGTTAAATGTTCAGAAGTTTCCGTTAATTATAACGTAAAGCCGTCATCTAAAACTAAAATCATTGAAGAAAAAGACCTGGCACATTTGTTCAATGGTTCCGATTTTCCGTTTCTCTTTCTTGAGATCACGCTGTTTGTTGACGAGTATTTACCTGCAGATCAAAGTAGAAATTAGAACAAAATTTAAATAGATTTTTTGTTTTTAAATTTGAAAAGGGAAAGGAAGAAGTGAATCGTACAGTTTGAAGAGGATATGTTATGAGTTGAGCTATGATCCCTCCACCGGCTCCCGCCAGTCCATTGATCAAAGCGTCAGACATATTTTTGTCACCCGAGAAAATAAAGTAAAATTTTCTCGAGAAAATCGGGTGCTTGGAGACGTTGAAAGAGATCTAATGATTTTGGAGAGGAAAAATGAAGGAGAGAGGAAAAAGGAGAAGCAGCAGCGAAGGCTATCTCTGACTTAGTAGGTAACTTTTACTGTGCAGCGTCTAAAAAATATTAAAAAATAGTATGATCGATTAAATAAGTGACTTGTTAAAATTTAGACCGGTTATGTTATATCATTTAACCGAAAATATTATCAAGCACAACAACATATTAGGTAGCGCTTATATAATGTAATAGGTAACGCTTATATAATAAAATAGACATTTAACCGAAAATATTATTAAGTACAATAATAAATTAGGTAGCGTTTATATAATGTAATAGGTAGCACTTATATTGATCTATTTTTTCATAAAATCGGTAAATTTAAACCGGTTACATTATAAATTGACATATTATATTATGTATATCGGTTTCGATGTTTTCAGGATCGATACAATTTTAAATGTATTGACACTTTATGCGTGCAATTCGTTTGTGCTTTATTTTGGAAAAACGTATCGATACATATTTAAAGAGTGTCGATACATAATATAGACCTATTTGCTAATTAACCGGTATATTTTAACCTGTTACATTGAAAATTTATCTGTTACATAATAATTATCGATTTCGATGTTTCGAGGATCGATACTTTTTACAAATGTATCGATATTTTATGCGTACACCTCGTTTTCCATTCATTTTGAAAAAATGTATCGACACAAATTAAACAAAGTGTCGATACTTTATGTTGACATATTCTCTCATGAACCCGGTATATTTCTACCGGTTACATTGGAAATTTACCTATTACATTATAATTATCGACACAAAATCTAATAGTGTCGATATTTTATGTTAACTTGTTTTATAATTAAACAGTATATGTGTACTGGTTACATTGTCAATTTACATATTACATTATAATTATTTGTCATTAAAATAGTCTAATTTTACCTATTACTTTAAAGTTATTGAATTCTGTAGTTATTGTACATACCTGAATATGTCCTGCAAATTTAATGTTGTACCCACCCTTAAACTATCACCACTACCAATACCACATCCTATTGAAAGCACCACTGAAACATGTTGTTCAATGAACCTTTACTTACATACATCTCTATCAACTCCTGTTGGGACCACTGAAATTGCACAACAAAATTTTTGCCATGGATCATACGGATGCAGACAATGTTAAGCCAACCGAGGAATGCCATAAAGTACATAATGTTGATGAATCTGACATATTGGTTGGTAAGCTCTTCTCTTCACGTGATCAAGCTTGGTACTTTTACAAGGAATTCACACGGGAGAACATGGGTTTAGTGCACGTCGGGGAACAACATGGCTTGACATATAAGGGAATGTGAAGACACAAGAATTTTGTTGTTCCAAAGAAAGGTTTCAAGTATCAAAAGTCAATATCGTTGATCGTCAACGTGCTCATACGCCAATCACAAGAACATGATGCAAGGCTAGAATCATAGTTACAACAACAAATACAAACGATCAGTGGGTTATAAGTAAGTTATCAAAACATAATTATGCATTGCACTGCTGACACCATTTATGCATTCTAATAGAGCTGTAAGTAAGGCTGATATCGATGAGGCAACAGCATTGAAAGAGGTCGGTGTTGGCACGTCACAAGTAATGAAACTATTTAAAGCAGCAGGCAGGGGGTATCATAATGTTGGATTTACACATAAAGACCTCTACAATGCACTTCAAAGAGGCAAAGCAAAGGAAATCGTCGATGGGGATGTGAATGCGCTTATTGCTTACTTTGATTATAAGAAACATGATAATCTCGGGTTTTTTGTGACATACTAGGTAGACGAATCAGGGGAGTTGCATAATCTTATTTGGTCGGATTCTACATCGAGATCAGATTACATATGCTTCGGTGATGTAATTGCGTTCGACACAACGTACAAAGATAATTTGTATGGTCGACCAATTATGCCTATTGTCGGTAAATCATCACCATAACACAATTGTGTTTGCTACTGCCATAATCGCTGATAAGACATCTCAATCTTTCGAGTGGGTGCTACAGAATTTTTTAGAAGCCATGATGAACAAATCGCCTATTTCAGTTGTCACCGATGGGGATAGGGCAATGCAGAGCTATCAAATCTGTTATCCCTAATGCTAAGCACAGATTATGTTCTTGGCATATTTTTCGCAATGCACAAGCTAACATTGGTGACCCAAATTTACAGCAGCATTCCAAAATGATGGTTTCCTGGTGGACAACCGACGAATTTGATATTCAATGGCGTTCAGTTGTTTCAGAGTTCAACATCGAAAAGCATCCATGGGTGATTGAGAAGGGAAATACTCGGCACTTATGGGCACAAGCATATGTAACCGGTCATTTCTTTGCTAATATTCGTTCACACAAAGGTGTGAGTCTATGAATGCTTCACTCGCAATTGCACTGAAACACAAGAAGACATATTAGATGTTGTTCGTGCAATTGAAGATGGAATTAGTAGAATGCGTCTGAACGAGTTGAAGCGATTACTTAAGTTCCCAGACGAAGCCCTTCCTGATCACAAAACTGGTTGAATTTGAAAGTCTGCTTCTGAGATTTATACGCGCGAATCTTTTCGTGCGTTCCAAGAAGAACTTCAACGGGAGACATTGTACCAGATTCAGGAAGAGATTGAGTCCTTATCAGATGAATTTCAATATTTTTATTTGAAAAAATACAAAGAAAAAAATAGGACATTTGAAATTAGTTTTGATTCTCTTACGAAAACCCTAAATTCCTCATGCAGAAAATTCGAGACAGTTGGACTTCCATGTCGCCATCAACTTCACGTTTTGAAGCACTTGGATTACACATATTTGCCTGGGTCTTTGATTCAAATTAGGTGGACTAAGGATGCGAAGGCTTCTGCACCAGTTTTGTTGATTTTAATGTGCCTCCAGAAATAATGCAAATGACAAGGTTTGCTTCTCTACGTGCAACAACAAGTATGTTATGCTATACTGCATCAAAGACAGAAGCGTCTTTCAAACCGCAAGAGATGAGATGAAAAGATTAACAGAAGAATTGAGAACTCGTTTAGTTTGAATGATTCAGTCAATCGGAGCAGTGTATTAAACAACGTTCGCGACCCTCAACGAAATAACGCAAGCGAAAGAAGTAACAAAGAACAAGGTCGAGAAGAAAATTAGGCGATGTGGGTTCTGCAACGGTGAGGGACATACAAACTAACATGTCCTCAAGTCAAGCTAGGTTTGAATACAAGCACGCAGCCTACTTCAACTGAATTTTTTGAAGACGAAATGGACTGGTCATTCAGTCCCGCACATGATGTTAGAGACATTTGGAATAATGCAGACAACGATCTCCATATATCCTAAGTATCAACATGAC